CACGCAGGACTGCCAGTGATCTCCACATAGATCGCAAAATTGTGCCATTGGTGACCTCACTTTTCTGCAATTCCCACAAAACCAGCCTGTATTGGACTGCTTCGCCATCTCGTTGACAATCAACTGGAGGAACTGAACGTCCTTCGAGTGATGTGCACGCAATGTCTTGAAGACAGCTCGTAACTGGGCTGGACCAAGGCAGATCAATCCACGGCGATGGAGGTGCCACGCCCTTCTGGCTCGGGCACGCTGCCGACGCTGTGATCTGCGTTGAGACTGGGATGCCGTTGCCTTTGACAAAGAAGACCCCAAAGAAAATGGCAATGAAGAAGGTCCACCAAAATGTCATACACAATGATGAAGCGCCTGCTTCAAGAGGTAGAAGTCCAAGGTGATGCTGCTATTGCAGCAGAGCACGTGCCGATCCAAACCACGTAGCCGCCAGCTGCTAGAGCAGCGCAGCGCCAACGCACGCTCACTGAGGCTATGGCTAGCCCGCGGGGGACGCGTGAAACACCCCGCTAAGGTACCTTGCGCAACTAAGGGGTGGAAGTACTTCCCTTAGAGGCGCCGAGCCGATACCTTCTGCGTATATATATATATATACTGCAAATATATATATATATATGCAAATATATATATATATGTATCTATACATATGTATATATATATATGTATGTATAATATTTATACAAACATATATATATATATATATCTATCTATGTGTGTATATATATATATATGTGTATATATATACTGATACACCATATACAATCATATATAAATAAAAAAAATAAATGTATATTTATATGTATTATATATATATATCACATATATATAATATATATATATACACATAATAAAATCATATGTATATATAGTCGAACAATATGATTTCTTCAAATTTTGATAATTTGTTTATCTTGTGTTTTTTTGGTGGGCTCGAAATTTTGAATGAACATTTTAACAAAAATGTTGTTGGACGGCGTGTGGCTGGCAGCTGCTTCTGGAACTTCATGTTGACCGGCAACCCTGGCTCCAAATCAAAAATGGCTTCGCAAAAATTGCGATGTCATCAAGTTGAAACCAAAGCTGGAAATTGGGAGATCCAGCTTGAATACCTTGTAGATCTTCTAGTAATCCAACCTGGCTCAGGAAAGCACTACCTATTATATTTAAATAGATGATACTGATATTGACGTTGAGCAAAAAAAACTGTTTACAGGGCTGCCCATACCCTCAGCTTCTCTGCCCTGCTCGGCGCCTCGTGTCATGCTTGGGAAACTTCGGGTCTTGGCCTCGTTGGCGCAACGCTTTTGGCTCAGTGCATGGGGCGCCGATGCCCATCTCTACTTACCCAATTTTACCTTTTGCGGTTCTGAAAACAACAGCCACAGCCTTCAAATAGGCGTGTGATTGGATTTACCTCATCAATCTCCATATATCATTCGAAAAATCATCGTTTATCAGTATTATCCAAAATTCTGCTGAATGACTGACTGACTGACTGACTGACTGACTGACTGACTGACTAAATGAGTGAATGAATGAATGAATGAATGAACGAACGAACGAAGGAACGAACGAATGCAACACAATAATTAATACATATATATTACTTATTTATTAATTTATATTGATTATAGACACAATTATACACAATCGTTATTGTTTTGCCAGATCATGTGTGATATGTGCGTAGCTACAAAGGTCTTCTAGCTCTTCCACAGGTGCATCCTTCAGGACAAAAAAGGCAAATCAAAGGGGCACTACTGAGCAAGGCCGGTAGAAATCCAGGAGTTCTCATTGGCATGTTCTATGGCATAAGAACGTTTCTTCATACTGGAAGAGCACATGTTGTAAGTGTGTTGGGTCTGGTTTGTGGATGGCCACTGGTTAGTTCCTCGACTTTTTCTGCCACAACGTAGAGTACAGAAACTCTGCGAGTACGAACGCGCCAAAGATCTACAGTTCCTTCAGAACTGATCTGTGCATGGGTCTGATCGGCGGCTTTAACCACGTGAATATATTAGTCATCAAGTATTCTCATCCCCACAAGGGATGGACATACCAAATGTCCAACAACCAGCCAGGAAACCCAATGCTAAACCATCCCCGATTTACCCAATTCTACCGGTTGGAAGTTGGAATTATTACAACCATGTTGTTTTACCATGGAGGTTTACCACATGATTGCATTTTCACCTGCACCACACATACCCTTCCCTTGCCGTGCTCAAGGACTGATCAAAAACTCATAGGTCTCAATATCGCAACCTGCAGGGGCCCCACAAGCAGCTCCTTTTCTGGACCCACATGGTAGAGGTTCATAGGCAAAATCATGAAGTTTCTCCCTGCCAAAAAATAGGAGATGACAGATGAGAGATGATAGTTTGCGATGATGACGATGATGACCAGTATTCAGCCTTCTATCCTGGTGACCATACTTCCATGCCTGGTGATTGCTGCACGGTGTGTCCACGATTCATGAGGCGCAACTGTGATGAAGGTGGATTGGTCTAAAAATGGCACAGTGCAAGCTTTCCCGTTTGGGACAAACCCAAGTGATGAGAGGCGATTTCCATCCAGAAAACACTGGAAAATACCAAGCTCTGACGATTTTTAGTAGCAAAACTACATAAAAATACTCCCGCATGAGGGGCTGTTCTGGATCGTTCTTGTATATTCCCATTGAACTAAACTCTTCAGCAAGGTTTGCCCTTGCCCGCCTCGGTCGCACGGCGCCTTCCACGCAATTTCGATGGTATCGATGCTTTTGGAGAGATGCGCAGGGCGCCCTGTGGCAAAAAAGGTCCAATGCCTTTTCGATTTGCAGGGGGATGCAGATTTGGTAGAACAGTAAAGTGATATTATCTCATCAACATGGCAAAAACAAACAATAAATATACAATAATATACAGCAAGCAGTTAATAAAACTACAGTACCATCCATCCGGGTTTACCTTGCGTTGCCATTTTTCACGGAATCCATTGGCAGAAAACTTAACTGCAAACAACTCATTGAATCATTGATTTCCTCAAATCAAGCGCCGGTAAAATCGATTTAGGCTGATAGAATCAGTGTTTCAAGCCGCTTGAACTCAGCACTTTTTTCTCCTTCCTTTCATGCTGATGAAACTGCGGCACTTGCGAAGTACCGTGTGGCTATGGTTCAATTGTTTAAGATCCCACGACCATTGTTTTGGTCTAAGCATAACTCTGTCTCTCATACGACTCATACGCACCAAGATTCCCAATGAAGCCTTACACTAGACCTCACGAAACCAAACATTGACATCACATCCAACTTGCGGGCGCATGTCTTGTATGATCAAAGCTTTGCCTCGCTCCGATCTCCGCAGCCTTCGGGTTCAGCCCCTCAACAGCCTGGGGTTCTTGAAAAACTTGACCGTTGAAGTTATCTGTCAATCATGTCTGACCAGTTGAGACTTTCAACCCGAAACCAAACGGGTTGGCGCTTTTGAACTCAAAGAATATTGGTCAAGTTCCATCATCATCACAAAAAAATATGCAAGGAGAAAGCAAGCAAGAACATCACATTACAAACCGGTTTTGATGAGTTGTATCCCTACTGGTCATGAATTCCGGGTGTTAATCAAAGAATTGTTATTTAAAAAACACTTCACCAGCCAATCTCTGTGTTTTTGCATATCTAAAACCCTTTCTTGTGCATATGTCACTGGATCGGTTGAGGACGGGAGAGCAGCCTCTTTGAGCTGAAGTCACAGTCGGAACGCAGCTGGGTGTTTGTTCGCTGCCAGAAATGACTTGTCACTTTGGTCCACTGAGTTCGGCCAAGGTATGATGTGCAATATGTATATAATATATTTATATATATGTGCATATATACATATATGTATTTACCATTCATTTACATTCATTTATTTACATAAATATGTGTGAATATATGTACATATATTATTGACGATATGACGACATACACGACTATGATGTGTACATATGCATGCCATGGTCAATAAATGGTAAATGGTTAGTGGTCATCCCACCATCATTAGGGATTCCTCATAATAGGTATGTATATGCATTAGTATTAATAAATTTGGGTTGATGACCACGCAATCTGTGAATAGATTGATGAGGGATATAGATGGACAAATAGAGGTCAACAGAGACCAAACAAACAAACAAACAAACACCAAACAAGCAAACAAACAAACAAACAAACAATCAAACAATCAATCAAACAAACAAACAAAGAATTAAACAGACATGTAGATAGATTGGATATGTAGATCATCCCAATGATCCTCTCAAGTTTTCAACCGAGGGATACCGGGCGGCAATCAAGGATAGCAATGGGAATTCCCATTGCTTTCAGAAGAATCAGCATACATGGATACACATGGGCTGATTTTTTAATGAAGAAACAAATTGAAAGTCGCCCAACGCAGGCATACAATCATTATATGCAAATAGCTGGACATAACATAATACCCAAACCCGAAAACCCTTTTAAGGCCGATTTTGGACAGTTCCCTACGTTTCCCTCCCTCCCTCCCTCCCTCCCTCCCTCTCGCTCTCGCTCTCGCTCTCGCTCTCGCTCTCGCTCTCTCTCTCTCTCTCTCTATCCCCTTCAAGCATTTCAGACATAAACAACTGGATGTGACGGATGAGGCATCTCCAACATTGGATTACAATATCATCAAACACACCGAACTATGGAAGCTTGATGGCTTGCAGGTGCTTCATTGTCGGTTTATCTAAGCCATAATAAAGGAAACAGTTTGCAGCTCAGCTCCAATGAACAAGGTACAAACATACTTTCATGATATGTATGTATATATATACTGTATTTGTATGTATCTATATATATATATGATAGATGTTTTGTGTGTACCAGTGTGTTAAATTCTGTGTGAACGTAAATCTGCAAGGTGTAGCATATGAACACGCTGGTGGACATGGAACAACTCCGAAACCACAGCCGAGCCAAGCCGGGCGACGTGACGCGACGCGACTTAAATCATTGGACCCTTCAGAAAGTCGATGGCTAAGGACGTCAGATTCTTTCCTTCAACTTCACAGATGCTACAAAGGCCCCACAAGAGGGAAGTTTCCTCTTCCTCCCGTAGGAAATCATTTGCCTGGTGGCAAGGGAGTGGCTGAAATGAAACCAGATGCCTGGATTCCACTACAAGAGACATCAATTAGATTCTAAAGAGTGCTACAATGGTGGATTTGTAGGCTAAACATGTTTTCTCTGATGTTTTTTGGGGCCCACATCTTTGGGACACACGTTCATGTCCCATCTACTGATCAACGACAACGTCCATCCAGCAGCCACATACGCTTAAACATCTAGGGGCAAATCCGCAAATGGTTTTTGTACTACCCATTACTACCCCTCAATTTCCCCACGCTAACAAAATTCACACGTGTTTTTTGTATTTTTTTGTCGTGTGTGATTTTGTTGAAGGCTGAGTTTGGTGATTCCCCGTTGCTAGACAAATCTGTAAAGCAATATAATTCCCCATCTTCCAGATTCACAACATACAGAGTTGTTTCGAGTCCCTGGTGACATGTTCTGGTCAGCCACGGTCAGCCCAAAAGACTATCCCAATCTTGCCCCAGTTCATTTCCAACCGCCTCATACAAGTGGGACACGCACTGGACTCAGTTTGATTGCAGAAATCATGGGCCATGCAAGTTCACCTAAAATTCTCCTGCGTAGTTTTTAACAGCGCTAAAACCCTTTATCCAGCTCTTCTTTGCGGCTCAGTTGCCCTGAGCTGTGCTTTAACCATGCGCAAACTGGAAGATGTACCAGTGCCCACCACGCCTAGCGCACTGCAACAGCAAAAACGGGCCCAAACATTTCAAGCAGGTCCTCATACCACCCATGTGGTTTGAAACCCAAGTAGTATGGAAAATATAGGAAACTTATGGGAATGGTTTTCAATCTTTTCAGGTCCTCATTGTGGTGGACGGGGACATTATGTATTGACCTGGTAACACTCAAGGGCAATGGAAATGCCAGCCTGGCTTACAAAAATGGTCATGTCATGTTAATGTGCGACACATTATGTCGGATCGGAAGACACCACGTGTCACCAGTGATTGAAATTGTTGTATGGAACTATATGCAGTGTAATAAGTGTAACCCTTGTTTTACATGTATATATATATATATGTAGGTTACTTAAAAACATTTGTAAAATATTATAGGTTTATCTACATATATGTCTATACCATCCAAACCTAAATTGGTACAAACCATCTATATGTCAACCAGGAAATTGCTCTATATATATATAATTACATATACCTATACATGCAAAAATATTCATCTATTAAACATCAAACTATTCTGAAAATATATATATATATACAAATATCAAATACATACATGCTACAAATAAACATATATATATATATACATATAAACATATATATATATACATACGCATGTATAGATATCAAATGATTTATATATGTAGAATTTCTGTATATTTATGAAAAAATATACATATTTGCTTATACTATATAGAGATAGTACATAGTAGTATATGTAGCATATATATCTATATATAGCATATATAAATATATATTCACATATATATATATATTAGCATATGTATGTATATATATTAGCATATGTATATGCAAGATACTGTGTATATATATATATATGCTACAAAAGACATACGATATATCTTTCGATATCAATACACTCATATAGATTAACGAATACTAATTCAAATAATGAAATACATTTAAATATAAAAACATATAGGTGAATCAACATGTGTGTAAATATATAAATATATACACTCATTTACAAAGATTGACATATAAAAACATCATATGCTAATATAAGTAAATATACATATGCTGATATAATATATGTATATATATATTTGCACAAATACATCAATCCAAATGACAAAAATGTGCATGTATGTAAATCAATAAGCACCAAAAAACCGTACATTACATTACATTACATTACATTGCATTACATTACATTACATTACATACATTACATATGCATATACATATACAGAAACATTTTCATATATACACGCATATACACACACATATATATATATATATATATATACATAAATATATATATATATACATATTATAATATTTTTATACAACAACAAATTTAGACAGGTATATCAATGAGTAAACAACCATACATTTATATATATATATACACATTTCTTTAAACAATTTTAACATATACATATATAATGAATTAGTGAAATAATATATATATATATATATGTATATAGAGAGACAGTACATATGTACATACACTTCAATATATAGATATATATATATGTATATATGATATATCTCTCTTTCCAGCGCTGTCAGCTAAGTCCTAAACTTTTGCACCATGATTATTAGGGCTATGGAGGTTCGTCCCTGTTGAACGCATCACAGCAAATGAGTTTGCAAGTCCCGATTTCTGTGGTTCAGGTTGCCCTACGACTCCTGGGTCTGAGCATACATATGGTTACTCACCACCCTCTCTGGTAAACAACCATATCAATTATTAAACATCACCTTTTTTCACAGGTAAACCGGCACAACCATCTATAAATGGACCATAATCCATAGCTATGTTAGTTTACTGGAGGGTAGATACGCTGCCCACCCTGGTGGAACTGTCCCAGGTTCAAACTCCAAGCCAACACCATGACTCGCTGCCAGTGCTTCAAATCCCCTAATTTAACCTTGACTGCCGCAATGGCTAAGGGTAAGCTTAGGTCCCATTAAAAAAACACACGCACACACATATATATATATATATGAAATGCTCCTCAATAAAACTGACCAATTAAATAATCAAATTTTCCATTCACCTGCTACTGGTTTTTACATGTATTTACCCACATTTACCAACTTCACCCAGCAATTTCGAGCAAGCCACGTGTTGCACCAGCTGTCTCCAATTTTGCTTTCACGGCTGTAGCCAGTAAGGAGATTCGCGAATTGTCGGCAGGGGCGAACCTGATGGGCATGGTGGGCCTGAATGATGGGTCCCTTTAATGTGGATTCACTAGCTAAAGCATGTCTTTTAATTACCGTGAAAATGATGGAACTAGTTATTGACCAACGAACAGGCAACAAAATCGAGGAGTGAACCAGCAATGTTGATATGCATTGCATTGTTGTTCGAAAATGAATAGCTTATATGTTGACAATCCAAAGAATGGAGCCCCGCAAGTTTTCAGCCCTTTGCCCGGAGATATTGAGGGGATGAAATGCCTATGGATAAGGGTTGCTAAGCGCACTTGATTTTCGGGTGCAGGACTCCATCTTAAATAAAACAAGTGGTAAAATCGTAGCAGGGGTGATGGACACACCGCCCATCCAGCGAACCCCGTCAACATCATTGGTAATCATGGGTGTATGGTAGCCGAGGATCACCAACGGTCACCAAGCACATGTATCATATATTTATATACCATCTTTGTGACAACAATTTGACCCCCCATGTGTGCTTTTAAGTGATGGAAGCCTTGACAACCGCTGGAAGTCGATCTAACATGGAACCCAAACATGCCCAACAACAAACCATTGATCAATGCATACCATAGGAGCACTTGGAATGACAGGAAAGGGAAGCATTCCGGTCTACCAAATGCTGTCTTTTGTGCTGCTGTGGTTCATAGTATAAGTGGATGACTCGAATGGAGCAAATATAGTGTGAATATATTTGCATGCGCACGTAGAATGCCGTGTCCCGTGTATATATATATATATGTGTGTATTCATTTATTCTATTGTGTTTATTTGTTTATTTAGTTTCAATATATATGTACACACACATGTATATATATATATATGTGCACATATAAATAAATAAATATATATATATGTACATATGTATATATATATATATACATGCATTATATATGTTTGGTAGTACCCCCTTGCAGTACCAAGAAAATGCTTTGAATTATTGAAGTCATACAAAAGCACCTCAGAGGTGCCAAATAGATAAATGTGTCAATAAACCGATACATCTATATGTATGTATATATATACACACATATATATATATTATACACATACACATATACATATATTTTCATTTAAATATATACATGCCACATATGTAAATACAAAAATATACATGTGTATGTGCTGATAACTTTGTGATATTCTTTGCTAAATAGTCTCGAGACTCTCTCTCTCTCTCTTTCTTTCTATATATATATATAAACACAATAAATACTAGACCTCATTTGCAAACGTTTGCAAACGGTTTTCCTGCCACTTGGGCCTAAGTTCCTGGACCCAAGATCCAAGATCCAAGATTGTAGAAAACCTTTTCGGATCGCAAGGACCTTGGAGAAAACACTTTTTAGATCTTGAGAACCTAAAGATTGGATACAAGATCCAGGATTTCTTGGATCTTGGATCCAGGTGGGCACAGCCGGACCTCAACCGTTAGCTCCAGATCTCAGCGGGCAGTGCCCCACTGAGATCTGGCGCTCTGGGTTCAGGTCCGGCAGTGCCCATGTCAGAGAGAATGTCAGTATAGATGCCAGAATGAATGCCAAATAGAGTGGCAGAATAGAAAATCAGAATAGATGCTAGATAGAATGCCAGATGCCAGAAAGGATGCCAAATAGGATGTTAGAATCGCTGCCAGATAGAATGCAGGAATCGAATGTCAGAAAATAATGTCAAAATAGAATGCTATACTAGAATGTCTGAAAACATGCCATATATATTTATATGTATACTTCAAGGTGAAATGCCAGAAACTATGACAACATAAATTTCTCACGGTGGGGATCACTCGAAGTAAAATAATTTAATCACATATAAATATATAAATATATGTATATAGTATTATATAGTGTGTATATATATAAATAAGTATACATACATATATGTATACACACACACACACACGTATGTAAATTTATACTAATTTATATGCATATGCAGAAAAATGAAAATAAAAGGGTTTGCTACATCATATCTAGGTCAAAGTGTGGTATCCGGAGCACCCCCCCAACATCCCCCCACCCGTTTCGTAAGCAAAACAACACAGAGGGGGTGTCTATTTCATGTGGTCAGGTGAAATATTTCTCAATTTCTGTTTGCCTAAACCCCCAAATATTCCAGGGTTATCCAGTGCTAGATGGGGGATATCATGATGTCAGGATATGTGAGGGGACTTGGGTATTTAACCATGGGCAACCTTTTCCGTCAGTTTCTCACAACCAATGTGCATCTCCTCCATCTCCGTGGTTTTGCTCGAGATGTCAATGGGACGCATGTGGAGCCGAGTGATGTGTACAGGGTTCTTCCTGTCACTGTCCTGTGGATGGAGTTCGGCCGCCGTGCTCTGCCGAAACCACCAGAACCCTGAAAAGAAACCGCATGGGAATCAACAAAGACTGGCACATGTTCATCAACAATGAACACTTGATTGTTGATCAAAAATCTGTTGTTGTAAGCACGTAAATCTTCCGCCATCTTGAAAATTCTACCAGGTTTGATCCTTTGCTCAAGGGCCAATGCAATAGCATATGTACTGAACGCGGGGCTCTTTGCAGCAGATGTTTGATGATCAAGGGGGGCAGTGGCCATATGCCAAGGTTCCAGCCGTAGAAGTTCTGGACAAAAGGCTAGGGAAGCTTTCAAGGGTGCCTTGGCCCAATTGATCCGACTGGGTAAAGAATAAAACTTCAATTTTACAACACGATCTATCTGTGCCATAGTGCCCATGCACCTAAAGACAAATATAAATGCACGTAATTTGGGCTTGTCCAAAAGTGGTGGATCCTGCGAAACGGCAATGTTCATGGAGAATGGAATGTGGTAATTTGGAAATCAACTGCCCATATTCAGAAATAGAAAATGCCAAGTAGCACCCGCCTGAAGCATCTACATGGCGTGGATACACGTGTATTCATGCACGCTACTACGAAACATACCCCAAAATACAAAAAACATGTCCCTATCGGTGCTTGGTGGGAGGGGGTGGGACCCCAGGTTTTTTTTTAAATTAAATGGGGTCCCCTGCAGTATGGTTTTTCCCAAAATTCATCAGTCACTGATACCCTCCGATTATTTTTTGTTACTAACATGGGAAATTAATCCAGCACAATCCAGTTCAGGTCCCCCCCAGCTCAAAATGAAACAAACTACTTGACAGTACCTGGTTTGGCTCCGTGAAGACGATCCGGCGTGGACAGCAAGGTTCTTGCACAGTTGGGAACAGCATTGCTGCAGCCCAAATACTCCATCTCAAGCAGAGCAAGTCCATGGGAAAGGTGCTGCGGGACCATGGTAAACTGTTTCTATCTGTTTCGGGCCCCTTGCGTGATCCCAGATCAGGTCAGAATGATTAATCAAGGGGTGGGTGAGTCCATACGTACTGAACATTCATTCGTCAGGACACCTTTGGCACCATAATATTCATGGGATTTATGGTCACCAGAATAATTAAACAAGGGGTGGGTGAGTCCACATGTACTGGGCATTCATAAAGATTCATGTGTTGGGATACCTTTGGTGTTATCATGGGTGTAGCCATGCATCTTCATCTACCTTGTGTTTTCATGTATTCATGATACCTTTGGAAGTGTACATCATTCATCTTCCCCTTCCGCATCGCTTCCCTCCAGCTGGGTGCCATCATGGCAATCTGGCGCTCCTGCATCAGGCACCACTGTAGCCAATATTATAGAAGGGCATGGCTACACCCATGATAACACCAAAGGTATCCCAATACATGAATCTTTATGAATGCCCAGTACATGTGGACTCACCCACCCCTTGTTTAATTATTCTGGTGACCATAAATCCCATGAATATTATGGTGCCAAAGGTGTCCTGATGAATGAATGTTCAGTACGTATGGACTCACCCACCCCTTGATTAATCATTCTGACCTGATCTGGGATCACGCAAGGGGCCCGAAACAGATAGAAACAGTTTACCATGGTCCCGGCAGCACCTTTCCCATGGACTTGCTCTGCTTGAGATGGAGCATTTGGGCTGCAGCAATGCTGTTCCCAACTGTGCAAGAACCTTGCTGTCCACGCCGGATCGTCTTCACGGAGCTGTGCTAGGACACGTGTCAGGAACCATGGCTGCAGTATCCCGAGGCGGAACACGCGGCAGCACAATGAGCTAAAACAGCTGAAATTAAACCATGGGGTGGGTCACATCTCAAAATTAAACCAACTCAACTTTCTTCAGAATCTTAAGGAGGTGGGTGGACCCCCTGTTTTCGTAAGATTCTTAAATTAAACCGAACAAATTAAACCATAACTCAGTGTCCACCTAGTTAGCCAGCGCAAGGGATATCAAAAAACTAGGGTCCACTTGTATTTTTTGGAACTTTGAAGTTGGCAAGTTTGGGTTTTGGATGATACCCTTTAAAGAATACATGTTTTGAGGGTTTCACAGTTTCACCACCTAATAATAACAGCGGGAACATTTTTTATTAGGGCCCGTCCCAAAATGCTTGCCCCAAGTTTATTTCCAGGCCCCAAGCCCAGTCATTTTATAAATTTGGGTCTTATAAAATGGTTTGTTTGGAAATATATCTAACTTGTACCTATCCCACTTCCCCCGGGAAACACCGCAATCCTTTTAACATAGGTCCAGCCATTTCATAGTGGAAATGTGCACAGGGATTATACTCCGACATTCTTTCTGGCATCTATTCTGACATTCTTTTTGGCATGCTATCTGACATCTATTCTGACATTCTTTCAAGGATTATTTCTGGCATCTATTGTGACATTCTCTCCGACATGGGCACTGCCGGACCCCAACCACTGAGTTCTGGCGCTCCCGGTTGAGCAGTGCCCACTGAGATCTGGAACTCGCGGATGATGCCCGGCAGTGCCCACTGAGATTGGAGCTCACGCTTGAGGTCTGGCAATGCCCACTGACATCTTGAGCTCGTAGTTAAGGTCCGGCAGTGCCCGCTGTGATCTGGATTGCAGTCGAGGTCCAGGAAACGTGTTGGTTTCTGAACTCATTTCCATATATTTCCATGCTACTTGCAACATTTCTGAGCCTTTCATCTCTCATGTGCATGCTATGTGCAACATTTGTGCTTCTTGTCGATGGCCACGTGTTTATCGACGTGTTGGTTTCTGATCTCATTTCCATATATTTCCATGCTATTTGCAGCATTTCTGAGCCTTTCATCTCTCATGTGCATGCTATGTGCAACATGTGTGCTTCTTGTCGATGGCCACTTGTTTATCGACGTGTTGGTTTCTGATCTCATTTCCATATATTTCCATGCTATTTGCAGCATTTCTGAGCCTTTCATCTCTCATGTGCATGCTATGTGCAACATGTGTGCTTCTTGTCGATGGCCACTTGTTCATCAACGTGTTGGTTTCTGATCTCATGTTCGTGCTATTTGTCTCTCATTTGAATGCTATTTGCAACATTTGTGCTTCCTGCCGAAGGCCACTTGCTGATCGACATATTGTTTTCTGAGCTCATGTTCGGTGCATAAACCACATAGATGGCACAACTCATTCTGGGTGCCTTCTAAAATAGCGCCGTTTTCTTCCTCACCCCACTGTGCAATCTTGGGTATTTGCTTTTTTGAGTTGTGCCATCTACTTGTATCTATGCACAAAAGCTAACGGAAACATATTGAGAAAAGAGTGAGATGAAACAACAATTATAGAAATAGATAGAACATGATAGAACCAGCATATGCATCATGTTAAATCTGATAAGACAGAGCCTGACACTGAAGTCAGTAAATAGCTAGTCACAGAATCCAACCAAACCAATGTACCCTACTGACTTGTTGCATAGAACGGCCAGGAATAGGTAGGAACAGCTTCCTCCAAGATCACAGCCGATGATTAAGATTGTACCGTCAACCTGTGTAGGTACCTTGTTTACAACATGTTTCTATACCCTTTTCCCAAATCACATAGCACCTAAAATGTTCCAGTCTTCAGAAGTCAAAAGTAGCAAGTCGTGGCAATATGTGCTTCACTCAACCTCTCAAATGTCGAGCATTGTTGCATTGCAGGAGGAAAAAACAGGAGAGTTGCTAGGGCGAACAGCATGGTGCCATGAAGCAACTGACCCCCTGACGTTGACAGGGCCGAAATGACCATGTTGAAGTACTGAATACAGCACGTTTAAAATAAAACCCAAAAAAAACATCAACAGCTTGGATTACCATTCCAAGTTTCCAACAGATTCCGATGCCTTTCTTGCGTTATTCTCGCAACACGAAGGCCATGCTGGACTGCAGCAGCTCCAATGCAATCCATGGCAACCTTGCCGTGTTCACCCAGTTTAGCGCAGGCAGCTGCCACGCTTGTCATCACAGGACCGTTGCCCTTGCCTCTGCCAATTGGGATGCACAACAAATACTGGTATCACAAGCATGTACATAGGGTGCCATGAAGGCTCGATTTTCAGTAGTGCACAATTTGCTAAATATGTGCTACCAGAAATTGCACACACACGCACACACACGCACACACACACCTAATTAAATAGCTGTCGGAATTCGAAAGAGATCATGTGGCTAGTCCATGGCTAGCTATGCAAGTGATCACATCCCCCAGGTACATTTCCAATTGAGTTTAGCTTGCGAAGGTTGCCTGATTTGAACTCCGCTACGACCAAAGCAACGTCTCTAGCCCCAGATATCCAGCAAAAAAAACATTAAAAAAAAAACATTATAAACATGTATAAACTACAAAGTGTATATCGTCATTATGTAGTCATCATTCGCCAACAAATTTTGGCGAAGTACAACCGATCTGTCGGGTCCTGAACCCCAAAAAAATAGGTCCCACGCCCTGTCAGGCGACACTTGAGCACCCAGTCTGCATCTTCAAAGGTCGACCAATGCATCGTTTCGCCATCCGCAGTTCTGGCAACGGCAGGTCGCTGAGGCTGTGCGAGGTGCCCCGTGAAGGCCGTGCCAAGGACACCAAGCAGTCCGGCAAGGCAGCCGCGGCCAAGGCGCCGGCGAGCCATAGCGAAAACTCTTTTTGAACCAGGAATCTGGGGAAAACACTGGTGCTGAACTGATCGAAACTGGTGATAGCGAACATGATCGAACATGAGAAGGGTATCTATGCATGTGTACATAATATATATATATATATATATATTTGCAATACGGTCAAAGTCAACCACAAAAGGCTTATTGTTTTCAACAGGTAACACGTGCACAGTCAAACAAGTTCAAGATGGATCAAATGAATATACATGCTTCATTTCAACGAAATGCTAGGGTGCAGAACAATAATTGCCCAGTTGATTGGGATTTCGTTCCAAGATGAACCTACCAACTGGCTAAGGGGCGATCGGCGGATCAGGAAAACATTAAAAAAAAACCTAGGATACCAAACCTCGAAGTCAACGTTGACTCATCATATCTCAGGCGCCATTCTTGGCATTTTTCTTGGATCCTTGAGGTTACCATAGGCCATAACCCGCCTGGATGAAAGGTGCCTCCCCACACAATTTGAGATTTGGGATGGCTCATATCTGGCATGTGGATATGTTTGCCATATGGGCCTACTGAATCTTCGGATCAAAGTTCATGGTTTTCTCCACCTCCCGGCTGGTATTCTCGCCCAGGAATTGCCCACCTTTGCCCTTGTAGATATTCTGGATTTGTTTCAAATTTGAAACCAGTAGTTCCTATATGCCCTAGTGCTCCAAATACTTTGTGATAAGGTGTTTGGAGCAGCAGGGGGCGGTTTATCATTTTTCCTCATATAGGGGCACCACCTCATTTTGAGACAAGCCCATGTCAAAACGCCATACATCGCCATACCCAGAATGCCGGCCTTTCATCTGCTTCAAACGACTGTCCGCTTCAGGCTCCGTGGCCTTTCCAGAAGGGGCTTGTGGTGGGGCCATCCTGGGTCAGACACCTGGCTTGTGGCCCAAATGTCTCCACCCATTTTTCAGCAACAAAGCTTGGGGCGTTTGGCCATGCCTATTCCAATCTATACCTGCTAACTGTCAGATTTAGGTTCAAAATCTGACCGGCTCGCCGCATGTTGGGAATATTGATCCCCGAAAAAAAAAAACGAAAAACACATGACTATTCAGTACGGCATCCCTGTAAGGAAGGACTTGTCATACTTATGATTTTTTCTTAGAGATCTCCATGCAAAGCAAAACTTTCTGCTGCCTCTACCTCCTCTTCTTCACCTTCCATGCCGAGGCCATCCTTGGTGGGATGGGTGTCAAATGGGAGATGGCTCTATGTTGGCTGGGGCGATGCTATAGCTATATGTGACAAATAGCATCTCTATGTCTCTATGTAAATACATATCTATCTCTATGTATCATTCTCTCAAGTTGAGCCAAACTGAAGGCGACCTGGTTGCGGAGCTCTTGAGCTAGACTCACTCTCTCTCTCTCTCTCTCTCTCTCTCTCTCCCTCCCCGCCTTTAGACGTAGATACAAATGTATAATATATATTTATATAGGCAACACAGCCACAATCAACCAGGAAGCAACGCACTTGTTTTTGTCTTGAGCCATAATATGTCAGACAATGTACAACTACTACAGGGCACACTTTACAGGGGAGTAAGAACAGTATTAATTACTATCCCGTAAAAATACCCCCCGTATACTGTAGCTGCTTGGCAGCTTCAGTATAGTTGTGCCTGCAGTACGCCGCCGCAAAGAGACCTGAGTGAACGCAACGGTTCAAAGCTACACAGCTAGGTCGGATGCATGTTGGCATGGGTCTTGCGGATGTCAAGGCAACGTCTGGCGAATGCAAAGGCTCACATATTCCTTTTGCGCCGATATTGGGCTCGAAGCTGCACACAGCATGGCCGTGGCTCCCGCCAGGCATCTTCAAATGGAATGAAGGAACAATACCATTCCTGTGATGTCACTCCAAAAGGATACCATGGCAGGAAAAACTGTACAGCCATGAAAGGTGTGAATTGATTTGACCCTTGCCTTGAACATCCAATCTTATGGCCTGAGAAATAATTGAAGTAAATTTTAATTCATTTAAACTGTGCGGAAGTTTGTGCAATGAAGTTCATTTGAATGGAATAATGCATAATATGCGTCAAAGCTTTGGTTTGTTCAGTGGATGCGATGCCTGCCAAGTTTGTCATAGACAGGCATGCCTCCCGGCAAGCAAATTTGAAAAAGGAAAGATATGACCTAAGCGTCAATGCGAGTCATCCCATAGTTCAGGTCCAGCGCCAGTACCAGCCTCGCTGTTGATTCCAGTACCACGTATAGCGGTAGCCCTGAACCCAGTAGGAATCTCCTTCAAAGTCACCGTAGGCCACACCTCCCGGTGGGCTTCTGCCTTGCTTGCCCTTCCCCTTCTGCTGTCCCTTCCCTTTGGTCTGTCCTCCACCTTTGTGATGACCTTTTCCACCACCGCCTTGGCCGTAAGGACCGCCGCGAGCAGGCTTGACAAGATTTGGCTCAAATTGCTCGTGATGGGGTCGTTCATGATCAGGTCGGCTGATGGCTGCACTTGCATGAGGAAGACTGACCTCCCGGTCGTCGCCGGTGGTTTCAGACTCCTTGTGCGTCTGTTGGGAGGCAAAGTTCGACCATTATGCAGCTTGCTGAACTCCACCAATTCCTTTGCGATCTCCTTGGCATCTGAAGCATCAGGCACAAAGTCACGATTGCCCCATCCATAAACAATGGGTAGAGGCCTTTGCCTTGGCTTGATGAACTTCGCCACATAGACTGCGAATTGGCCAATGTCGAGAAAGACGCCCCGATGCGACACAAACACCTCGGTGTGAAGATCCAAGGGTTGGTCGGGCTCCCGCTCCGACGATGGCACAAAGATCAACTTGGTGGCCATCTCAAGCTTCTCGCCAAGAACCTGAGCTTTGGTTCGCTCAATGGTCGGGCTCACGCAGCCAGCCAAACGCTCAATGAAGAGCAAGGCCTCTGGCACCAAGTTTTGATTCGCCGCATTGAACTGAAAGAACGGGTCGCGGACGAGTCGGTCAACAAGGTCCTTGAAGCCCCTTTTCTTGAAAGATCTGACGTAGTTTTTGGCCATATCTCTCAAGTTGCCATAGGTGCTTCTTGTCCGGACGGCTGTCGAAGAAGATGATGATCCCTTCTCCGGCTGCCTGGCTACTCTGCCTCTGCGCGGGTGGTTGAAGATCACCTTGTCCATGGAAAAGGGCACCCCTCTGGTACGGGCCATCGCCTCCCGGCGGGCAACTTCCGTGGCGATGTTTGCATCGGTCACAGGTTCCATCTGCCGGAAGCAGCGCGGGCATTTCAAATGCCCATCCATCATCAGATATCCGCAGATCGGATGGCTACAGCGCACCTGAGGCGTGTCTTGGATCTGGTTGTAGGAAATGTCCTTGAATTGCAACTCAAATCCGTGTCGACCTTGCCCTCGGTTCCAATTTCCACCACCGGGTCCATTCCGTCCACGACGTTGGAAGCCACATGCATCCGTGCTTGTCATGGCGGCCATCTTTCCAACGGTGTAGCCGGACACCAGCTGAGAACCTGATGCCGGCTCACCCTCCCGGGTGGCAGTGCTCTTTTCGACCTCAATGTCTTCACGCCTGGAAAAGGGGAGGAGCTTGCCAAACTCAATGCGCTCTTTGATGCCTTCAAAGTTCAACTGGGCATTTTCCATCAACATCTCCATGCGGCTCATGAGAACATCCGACGGATCAAACTCGGCCTTGGCCTGCTTGAGGACTTCCTGGTAAGCCTTCCGATGGTTGACATAAGCCCTGTTGATATAGAAAAATTCGCCCGAACGCATATCAAAGGCGTTGATCATCGGCTGGTTCGAGATCCAGTCTGGCGACAGGATGGCCTCGTCAGTCGCGAAAAGTTTGTAGCCCATTTGCATCATGAGCTCCATGTCAAACGCGATGGCGATCGGCCTCCCGGCCCGCGTACCTTGCAACTTTTTCATTTCCGCTTTCCAGGGCGGAGTGGAGTTGAAAAAGTTGTGGGCTCTGCCCGTTTTGTACGGGAATCCGCCAGGGATCAGGCCGTACTTGATGATGGAATTGAAGGCGGCTTGAACACAGGTGTGATACACCACTCTGGGGAACTTGTGCCACACAGGCGAGCCTTCCGGCATCGCGGAGAAAGCGGGGTGGACCGATGGGTCGTCAATCTTGGTCTGGTCGAAGTTCTCATCAAAAGTGAACATCGTTTTGATCATGCTTGACATCCCCCCTTGCTCCACGAGAAAGGCCCGATGGCCCTGAATGGCCCTGATCCTCACTGGCGTCCACCTGAGCTTTCCGGACGACAAGCCGTTCACCTGGACTCTGAAGCGACGCATCGGAGAGTTGCGCACGACCATCAAAAC